GCAGGAGGGCGGAGACCCAAGAGCTGCCAGCAGAGAGAGGCTGAGGACCAGGTGACCTGCTACATACTAGAAGAGGCCAGGAAGGAGTATAAAGAGGCCATGTGGTCGATGCCATTTTGTTCTCAGCTCAGCACTTCATCCCAGAGGCAGCACTGCAGGGATTGAAGAGCCCGGAAGACCTGTGGACCCATCCTGATCGTAGGATGTGCAATAAGAACTTTTAAACCAGCAGCTGCAACACCTCTGCTAGAGCCTGCATCGAGAACTGGGAGATTCGGTGCATGTAACGTACTGTACTTTAATAACCTTACTCTCATGCTTTTCTTTCTTATGTTAATAAACCTTTAGTTGTTAGATGCTAAAGGATTGGCCCAGCGTGATTTGTGGGTAAGGTCCAAAGGATAAATTGGCCAGAGATCTGTGGCTGGTTTCTTGGAACTGGACAGAACTTGTTCGGGGTAGGTGGGATTGGGCGCTAGGACCCCCCACCTGTGTATGAGGCCCGGGGCCATCTGGGGCACGGATATTGCTGGGGTGTCGAAGGGGTTTTGCTCGGGAGGCTTCAGGCAGGTTGCTGAAGTGCTCTGTGGGACTGGTTTGTGGCCTGTGTGGAGAGGTCACCAGTCGGGGGCTGTAAGTAGCCCCGGATTTGAGCAATTCGCCCTGAGCGGACGCCCTCAGCTGTGCCCAGACACGGCCCGGTCCGTCACAGGAGGGGCACCCTGACACAGTGCCCCCCCTTCTCCCTCCCACATCCTGAACAGCAAGCAGGAGGCTCTTAGGGGGGCAAGAGCAGCATGACAATGGGTAGAGGGGCAACTGAAGTACCTGCACTTGATAGCTTCCTGGCCAAACCAGTCAGTATGAGCTGTCAAAGGCTCCAAAATCTATTGATAGATTCCGATATCCTGGTTGGTGACCACAGATTTATATTAATAAAAAAATTGGAGCAGGGAAACTGAATCCTGGGTTTCCCACCTCTCAGGTGAGTGCTGGAACCATGAGGCTACAGAGTCACTCACTCTCATCCAATGATTTATTTAATCCACAGTGAACAACTTCAGGCAGGGAAACTAAGGGATCCCTCTTACCCCAACAAAATAACCTAAATGCCCAAACTTCTGAGCTAGAGAGGTGGGAGAGTGATGGTATGCATTGTTGTTGTGTGGCGTTTCCCTATCTCCTACCTTCAGCATGGGTAAACTTTGTCTGTGCCTGTTGTGGGTCATTAGTTCCCCACCACCAGCTTCTGGCAACAGAATCCCTTGTTCTTTTTACACATTTAACAATTAACAAGCCCATGCACACTAACTCCTTATACAGAAACCACAAGTGGTATAAACCAGACATTAGCATTTTTACCTCCTATGCAGCAGTGCTAGACTACAAAGTGTAAAATGTCAGCTGCCAGTCTATATTAGCACTCCCATATATCTACACTGGTGGGTTCTTGCGCAAGAATATCTTGTACACACTCTCTTGCGCAAGAGAGCATCCACACAGCCAGAAGTGCAGCGCAAGAATGATGAGTTCTTGTGCAAGAAAGCATCCACGCTGGCGGGACACCCTTGCACAAGAATGTAGCCCAGGAACCACTTCCGCCACGGTGTCACCAGAGGTCACCAACGGCATCCATGGGCATGCGCTAGACCCCCACTGGGAAACGTGCTTAAAGGGACCCCTGCACGGTCGTTTCCCTGTGGCTGCGTGCTTAGGCACCTCCTTGAGGGACTGAGAGCCACAGCCATGCCCGTGAAAGCTCGCCTCTAGACGCCTAGGGCACCACAGCCCCTGGCAAGTGTCCCTGGGCACCCTCGCCCTCTCCCTCCCCCCGTTCAGCCATGGAGCCGGAGGAGGACCCCGGCCAGCAGTGTCCCCTCACAGCCATCATCGAGGCCGTGGAGCAACTGCACTAGGAAGCCACGGTGCTCCAGCGGGAGCTGGAGACCAGCAGCACCTGCAGGCCCTCAGCATCGATGCCACAGCTGTTGCCAGGCACCCCCACCCCACCACTGACAGGCACCTGTGGAGGCACAACACAAGTGGGGACTGGTGGGAACACCTGGTGCTGGGACAATGGGGCAACCAGCACTGGGTGCAGAACTTCCGGATGTGCAGGGGGACCTTCCACGAGCTCTGCACCTGGCTCACCCCTGTGCTCCGGAGGCAGGACACCGGTCTGCGCCTCACCATCCCCGTGGACAAGAGGGTCATGATCACGCTCTGGAAACTGGCCACCCCGGACAGCTACCGCTCCGTGGGGAAGCAGGTCAGGGTGGACAGGTCCACCATCGGTGCGGTCGTCTGGCAGGTAAGGCACCCAGAGGCCTGTGGACCTACCCCGGGGGAGGGAAGAGGCCAGGACAGGGGAGGGCTGTGGGGGGAGGGGAAAGCCCCGCACCCAGGGGGTCATGCCATCCCTCCCTCACATAGCCCCGCCGGCGGAGGGGGGGGAACCCCTGGGGAAGGGGACCCTGGCATGTGTGGGGGGATGGGGCATTGAAGGGGAGTGGTCACACCCCATGGGGCCCATGTACTCACTGCGTCTCATTCCATGCATCCCCTGTGCTCCCATGTGCCCCTCTGCAGGTCGTCTGCGCCATCAATGATGTGCTGCTCCAGAGGGTCATCCGCCCCCATGATCTGGACGCCACCCTTGCC